AGAAATGAATAAGTAAATAAATAAAATATAGGATCTTAATGCCTTGGCTAACGATTGTGACCTTACCTTATTTTACTATCCAAATGCAAAGAAATATGAAAAATGTCATAGGCTATCACCAGCCATGCTATTTTTTTAAGGCAGAGTCAAAAGGCAGTTGTTCTGCCACTCATTTTTGAAGCTATCATGGACACGTGGGCAGTGAGATGTGTACTCTAAGTGTGGTCCAGGCAAATGCTGGTCAACTGCATGTGACGGGGCCCCTGACAAGATAAGAAGCTGTGCCAGAATATGAAATACCCACATCAAGCCCATTGTTTAGTGTAGACCATTTTTAATAGCAAGGTTTTCTAACTAAGTGAAGCAGTTACACTGACCCACACTCTGGAGAAAGCTTCTTATCTAGTGACAAACTGGTGGTAGACCAGCACTCTGAGTAGCGCAGGTGCACAGCACAGGTTATACTTCTAATTGTCACAGTGTGCGTCCTCCTCGCTCTGTTCACGTGTCTGAAGTCACCTGCAGATGAGAAATGGCAACTGAAGCCTTTACAAGTGTTTTCCTTCTGAGTGGTCAGAAAAACCAGCCCACGGCCCAGCATTCGGAGGAATCAGGGTATGAGCCCGAATCGATGTCATATGTTCCGCCTCCTGCTTGAAGGGTGTCCGACTGACTTTCCAGGGAAAGCGATTGAGCTGGGCACCTTAGCTAAGTGTTTGGCTCTTGTTACTTAGCGAGCTGAGGAGGCGGCGATGAGTAGCACTGTCCAGTGTGAGGGGTCAAGCCTCCTGTGGAAGACCAACGATAAACCATAACGCTAGTGATTTCCAAAAACCACATCCAGGGCATGAGCTGCTGCAGTGTGCAGCTCCAGGGCCATCATATGGCTACACTGCAAGCCTCGGGGTCTCTGTGAGAAATGGTAATTAGCATCCGCTTCCAGAGCCATGTTTACACCCAAAGTTTCCCCAGATGGTGTCGATACTTTCAACCGCTTTTCTTTGTATTCCCAGCAGGACCTATGTACTGCCTGAAACGGCTAGAGGAAGATGGATGTGTCTGATCCAGGAGGATCTATTTTCCCTCCAGATTCGTAGTGCTGAAAGTCAGCTGGAGTGAGTTATATAGTGTAGACTATAACAATTCGCCAAACAAAACCAAAACTCAGAGGGAGGAGGGTGGGAGACATCTGTAATAGCATCAACAATAAAAAATAAAAAACTCAGACTGTAGAGGCAGAAACACTAAGCCAAGAGAAACACAATCAAAATGCAGAGCGTGCCAATAAGCGACACCTCGCCAGCACGATGCTCGACCCAGCCCTTCCCCTTGGGGACTGCTTTCTATAGAGACCACTCTCTGTTCCACAAATAAAGCTACGCGTTGCTAGGAGACAGCCCAGATTCTCAGGGCACAACCTAAGGGGAGCGGCTTCTTCCCACCACGAGGTATAGAAATCTGAAGCTATTCCTGACGGCCGTGCTGCTGTTATGAAACCTACACAATCAGCACATCTATTTCACAGAGCGCTCGAGAGCTGTTCTGCCCTGACACTCGTAAATCTGACATACTGGTAACTGGACCCCAAAACTCTTTTCCGCCTCCTGGTCTTGTGTTTTTCCTCTTCTTTCAGGTCTTCTCCAAATGTAGCAGCACCTCACCTGTCCTCATTTCATAATGCCCAAGAAAACGCGCATGTTTTCAAGTTACCAATGACTCCCTCGAAAGACCCTTCCGATTATTAGTAGTCCTACTCAGCTTTTCAAAGTTTCCCCACGACTTGGAGTTACTGTTTGCAAAGCAGTTTTTGCTTTGCCTTTTTCAAAACAACTTAGCGGTTTTCACTTCTATCCAAGCTTCCCCACACGCTCTCCCTGAAGCAGTAACTACCAAGGTAGCCCGCTCACCCCTCGCCCTGCCTTTTGAAAAGCAACTGGCACATCTCCTTTGCCCTTTCTCGCCTTTCTGTACAGCCACCCCAGCAGCTCAGGTAGGAATAACTGCTGGGATGAGAAAGCCTCATGAATTAGCACTTAAACAAAGAGGGGAAGACTTTCGCGCATATAGCAAGAACTTTGGAGCACCAGCCCAAGCGCTTTCTAATGTTCTGTTATGCATCCTTAGCTTGTATTCCTCTTGATTGATGCCTTATGGTTGCCACATGGATACAACTTAAGATATTACATCCTGCCCCGGCTGGCGTGGCTCAGTTTGTTGGGCATCGTCCTGTGCACCAAAAGGTTGCTGGTTTGATTCCCGGTCAGGACACATGCCTGGGTTTCGGGCTCGATCCCCAATTGGGGGCATGCAGGAGGCAGCAGATAGATGATTCTCGCTCATCAATGTTTCTATCTCTCGGTCCCTCTCCCTTCCTCTCTCTCTAAAGTCAATAAAAGCAATAAAAGCATATTTTTTTGTAAAAGCATATTTTTTTAAAAAGGAGATATATGTCCCAATTCTACTTTCTGAGCTCAATCCTTAGATTAATTCCAGATTTAAAACTCTGACTCTATTTCTGCCTCTAGAACACAAATATTTTGTGGCTTTGGTCACCCAGAGATAAAATGAATTCTTTGGTTCCTTCTCGAATTAATCTAGATAGAGAAATATAACAAGTGGGGTAGGGAAACAAAAAGGAAGGCAGGGGAGAAAGTCTGGAGTAACAGGAGTCAATGTCTTAAGTGATTCTAGCATCTCACAGATTAAGTCATTCACACCCACGAAAAATCATCCCATATAAAGAAATAAAACTGATTATGTCCCAAAGAAATCTATAATAATAAAAGGGTAACATGCAAATCAACTGAACGACCGAACAGCAAAACGACCGTCCAGACAACCTTCTGGACAACCATGCTATAACACCCACTGGTGCCAGGCCAGCCAAGGTGGGTATGATGCAATTGGTCGGGGACCTGGCCGTCGCCCCAGGATCGCCCTGCAGAGGGAGGCCCAGGCCACCGACCAGCGGTCTGCAGCGGGTGGGCGGGGCCGCCCTCTGTGGGGGCCATCCATCACGGGGCTCCTGGACTGTAGAGGGCACAGGCTGGGCTGAGGGACCCCTCCACCCCCCTGCCGAGTGCATGAATTTCATGCACCGGGGCTCTAGTATCACATAAAAAGCATTTAAGAAACCACAGTCTGCTATTTATATTCTCATATTAAGCATTGCAAAATCTAAAATAAGAGGGAAGGAAAAGGCATTATGAGAAAAGTAAAAAAAGAAAAAAAGTTTATAAAATCCAAAAGGGTGAAATTACATAAGAACCAAAAGAGTTACTGCCAAAAAGTAAAATATTTTGTGAACCTAAAAGGTACCATAAATGAAAATATCATGTTTACGTCATGGAACTGCCTCACTTTGAAAGTGTATTTAAACGCACTTGGGGGAAATGTTGAACGCTGAAGACTTTCCCTCTGTTGTTGTCTTAAGAGATAGAAAAAAAAGAAAAAGTCATTGATGTTTTTTGTTGTCTTAGATTTCCTGCTATCCAGCATGATGAAACATTTAGAGATACAAGAGTAAATACAAACAAATAAATTTAAAATTCCTGGTCCCGGAGAAACACGGAGCACAGTGGGTTTAACACGAATACGATTTCAACAAGGATGTCTGTCACTTTGCCTCAAACGGGGTTTCCCAACAGTGGCACTGGGGACACTTGGGAGCAGGTAAGGCTTGGTTGTGAGGGGCTGTCCTCCGCGTCTCAGGAGATTTAGCAGCATCCCTGGTCTCCCATTTCCCCCGCCAGCTGTACCAACCAGAAACGTGTCCAGACATCACCAAATGTCCTCTGGGAGCAGAATCGCCCTGGTTGAGAAGCACGGCCATAAACCAGTCTTTCCCCCCTAATTTATTTATTACAAAACCCTCCCAAAATGCTTGGTTTATAATCTACATGGAAAGCAATGTCGTCTTTCTAATAAAATAACTAATGTTAAGTGTTTTTTTTAATTCCCTTCATTCAGTGAACAAGTTCTCCAATGCTGGGGAATGTTAGATTTCATTGTCAAGTTTGATTTAGCTTTCCTACTGGCTGCTGAGAAAGTTTTGACCTTTGCTTTCCAATAAGCAGACTTCATACTTTCTGGGACACTGTTATTCATCACTTGCCCACCTATGAATACAAATTAGCTAAAGAGAGCTGGGACTCGTTTATAAAAACACAGAGCAACCTATTTCTAACTCATATGTTAGAAGAATATGACACTTTCTTCACCTAATGGATCGGGGACACATCAAAGAATTCTGAACTCATACTTTAGACTGCAAGTTGTTCTTAATGAAATTCAACCTTCAGGAAACACAGAGCAGTTTTTCCAATCCGTTATCTAACTCTAGAGCAGCGGTTCTCAACCTGCGGGTTGCGACCCCTTTGGGGGTCGAACGACCCTTTCACAGGGGTCGCCTAAGACCATCAGAAAACATATATAATTACATATTGTTTTTGTGATTAGTCACTATGCTTTAATTATGTTCAATTTGTAACAATGAAAATACATCCTGCATATCAAGATATTTACATGACGATTCATAACAGTAGCAAAATTACAGTTATGAAGTAGCAATGAAAATAATTTTATGGTTGGGGGTCACCACAACATGAGGAACTGTATTAAAGGGTCGCGGCATTAGGAAGGTTGAGAACCACTGCTCTAGATTATCTTCTCCGTCCATTTAAAAATATCCATAAATGCTAACAGCCACCTCTTTCCAAAGTGCAACTATTCCTCAAGGGTAATAAGAAGTTTTAAAAGGGAAAAAACTGTAAAATCTGCAGATTTGGGAATTTAATTAGGAGAGAGATGTGACCACAGACTTCCTATCAGCAAAGGTACCTATACTGTTGTCTCTCCTCCTCCGACCAGGAAGACAGGACTCCCCGGCCCCGCTGTCTTCATTGACCCGTGTGAGCGTGTCTACAGGAGAAAATACAGAAAAGCACAGTGTCGCAGGGACGCGCGTGGCCCGGGTGCAGCAGGCCCACGGCGTGACTCACCGATGTGATACAGTCCGATCCAGTCGCTGGGGTCCACCTCCTCCTTGATGTCCCAGAAGATGATGAGGTTCTGGGCGCGGCCCAGCGTGTACTCGTACATGCTGGCCGTCAGGCTGGAGCGGCTCTCGGAGGTCACCAGGTCCGTGTCGCTGTTGGCCCGCTGCAGGGCCATGTTCTCGGGCCGGGAGCCCTGGGCGAGGCTCTGCAGGTTCTCGGGGCTCAGCGTGTAGCGCATCTGGGGGTTCCGCCGCCGCACGAAGAGCAGGTGCTCCCGGGCCGAGCCGGCCATCCCGGCCGCCTCTCCGAGGGTGGCTTCCTACACAGCTGGGGACAGGCAAGCACAGCGTTAGGGCCGCAGCACAGGACTTAGCGACACAAAGCCTTGGGTGAGTGCCTGGCCCTGCACTAATCCCGGCTTCAGAACTAAGCCCAGACTCCACCGGCAGCTGATGGCGTCAGAGGCCGCTGAGGCCGGAGGATGGCAAGGCCCTCGACCTCCCTCCGCCCAGCTCCGCCCAGCAAGTCAGGAAGCAGGGGTTTCTCGGCCATCCCTGGTGTGTCCTCCTCCTGCAGAAACGGCATCCTCTCCTCCACCACCCACCCACCCCCACGCCCCCATCACATAAGTATTCGCTGCTGCTATTACATTTCAAAATAGCAGGACAGAAAAATCTGGCACATGCCAACAGGTGAACTAGACCACTGAGGACGAGTTCATTTGCTCGGTTTCCTTCGCATGGGAATGTAACTCACTCAAGTCTTTTTCAGGAGCCCCTCCCGTAACCACAGAGGCCGTCATAGTTAAAACTACAGCACCCGGCACACGCACGGCACTTACTCTTTCTAAGACATTCACAAATATATACAAGTTATTTCTTTCTTTATTTAATTTATCTTTACTGTTGAAAGTTTTTCCCCTTTTTCTCCCCCAATGACCCTCACCACCCACACCCGCCATTCCCCCTCCCCAGGCCTTCACTGCACTATTGCCTGTGTCCAGGGGTTATGCATATATGCATGTAAGTTCTTGGGTTAATGTCTTCCCACCCATCCCTGCCCGCCTTCCCTCTGAGATTCGTCAGTTCCATGCTTTCATGTCTCTGGATCTATTTCTTCTTACTTATATGTGGAACCTAATGAACAAAATAAACTGACAAATGAAATAGATACATACACAAGTTATTTGCAAGTCTTTTTTAAAATATATTTCTTTATTGATATCAGAGAGGAAGAGGGGGAGAGAGAGAGAAACATCAATGATCAGAGAGAATCATTGATTGGCTGCCTCCTGCATGCCCCCTATAGGGATCGAGCCCGCAACCCAGGCATTTGCCCTTGGCCGGAATCAAACCTGGGACCCTTCAGTCCACAGGCCGACGCTCTATCCACTGAACCAAACCAGCTGGGCGTAAGTCTTGAGTTTATAAGTCAATCGCTTCATATATTTACATTTCACCCAGCCTGGATCGATTCACCTACTAAACGGAGGTAACGTTACTGTGCCCTGCAAGACCATTGTGAGGAGAGAAAAATCATAAGTGAGTGCTCAATGATAAGCCACCGCTGCTCATAGGGAATAGAATCAGTATCATCATCAATTACATATGACATGTTTACTGGACTTCTTGTGATCTCTCTGTAAGGTAGATAAATGTTGAATCACTATGTTATGCACCTGAAACTAATACTGTATGTCTAATATAATCCTCTAAACATTTTTTAAAAGCAACTACTGTTATTTTAATAGGAAGATATTATAATCACCGAATTAATGCCTTGTTTAGTTTGGAGTAGCTCTCTCTGGCTTAGAGTCTGGGAAGAGTAACACTAGGACTTGAAAAACAGATAACAGAAGTTAAACACTAAAGACACCCCAATAAATTTAATTTTTTTAAAAAGGAAACAATAAAAAGAAGACCATCTTTACACACGAAACACACTATCAGCTCTCTCTGGTGCTGGCTGACCCCGTGCTCAGTACAAAGGAGAAAAGCCGCCCATCCTTGCCGCGCCCCCCTAGTCAACGTGGCTTCCAGCTCCCAGAGCTCAGACATCAGCTGCACCGGGATCCACAGGCCTTTGAGTTACACAGCTCGTGACTCAGCCACAGCGGTTAAGGAACTGGTTCTGCATAAAAATGCCATTCCGACTTCCTATCAACCCACTCGTCAAAGGACTTTCGGGAGAGCCCACCTCTCCCGAACTGGTGACTGCACGCGGTGAGGTGCGGGTTAGAGAGAGAAGGGAGGAGGAGGAGGAGGAGGAGGGCCTGCGGCACAGAACGGGGAGTCAGTCAGTGGGAACCTCACCAAGAGTAACGGGCAGAGACCACCCCAGGGTCTTGAGCAGAGGAGTCCGCCGTGAAGCTTACGCCTGGGAAACTTGATCTGAGCAAGTAGTAGGGCTGATGGTTGGAGGAGGAAAGCAGAGGTGGGGAGCCAATTAGCAGCTACCTGGTTCGCTAAGGCATCTGGCACTGAATGCTGAAGAATGGACTTCAGTTACACAAAAAGGGAATAGCAATCAGGAATTTTTAAAAAAAAAAAAAAGAGCCCAAAGACTTGGCAACAGATTGAATACAGGGGGTAAAAGTGAAAAAGAAATTAGGACTAAATTCTGGATTTTGCATCTAAGGGACAACAGGATCCCAGAAACATTGGTAAGGCTGGGAAAACTCAATACCGTGTTGGGTGAGTTAGCAGTCAATGCACTGTATCTCAGTAACTAGGTCCCAAAGACTCCCATGAGGGTGGGCGTGAGTTCCTGGTTATCATGAGGCCAGGGATAAAACCAATATTCAAATGTAAGTTTCTGCTTCATAACGGCCTCAGTATCTACTAATTAAAATTGACCCTGCCACTGAATCTCTAAAAGGCTTATTAGGTCAGTGTTTAAAAACCTCATTCGGATGTTTCACTTTACACAACTTAGATCAACAGAAAATAAATAAAGTCAGAATGCCTAGATGACAGTGAGCAGCTATTAACCAAACCTGCTTTGGAAAATTTCATTTTTCCCTTATAGGAAAGGTAATGTCCAACACCATGCAAAAATGAATTTGCAAAGTCTGATAAAAATGAAAAAAAAATCAAACCACTTTAAATTTTATAGTTCAAAATTGTAGTCTAGAACTACCTTAATCAATGCAATGTTCGCATATGAAAAAAATAGTGCTACTCAACCAACCAGAATGGCTGCTTTTTTTCATTTTTTCCTACTGGAATCTAAAAATTCCTGATTGGCTTCTTGGCTTCATATCTACGCCTTCTGCAATGAGAAAGGCAAATTTTCTTCAGAATATTATCCACGCTCTTCTGAAAAGCTCAGAAGATAAACCACGTAGTAAGGAAAACTGAGTCGTCCCCACCGTATCTGTTAAACAGAAAGCAGTTCTTCAAAGCTCTTAGATAACCCTCCGGACACCATTTCCCAGGAGGCAGCTCTCCCCAAAGCCCTCCCTCTCCTACTTGTGATGAGGGCTGCACTGCGCTGCCCTCCCAGCACAGACACCGGCCTCCGCAACACGGAGCACGCAACCCCTTGACTTCCAGAGGTCAAGGGAGATGCAGTTACTAAGCAAACGGCAAAACACCTGAGTAAACAACTTCGTGCCCAAAGCAGCAGCTTTTGTTTAGAAGACACAGGCGGTACCAGATGACAAAGACACGGAGCAAGGGTTTTTTCTTAAAATACTTTCGCTAAAACATCTGGAGGTCAATGTCAATTCACTAAAGCTCACCTGAAGGGAACACGTTCATGATCAAGTGATTTTTACAGACTGGAAATGCAGCCCGGATCTTACCCTACGCTGGACATTGATAAATAAAACCAATAATAATAATTAGCATCCTGTTTCACCCTTCAAATTCCAAAAACACCACACACACATACACACACACACACACACACGCACACACACGCACCCACACGCACATGCTCACACACGCACACACGCACACACGCACATGCACACGCACACACGCACATACACACGCACACACACGCACGCGCGCACAACCTTGTTCAACTACACTACGCTTCAAACTCCATGTGTGTTTTACTACATGAATGAGAGAAAAAGGGGGGGAACAACTATTTTGATGTCAAAAGACTAAAGACCATTCACCTGCAGAAAGGAGGGGTGAGAGAGATCTAGGAAATCAGAGACCCATCCAGCTGGCATCTGAGACGAAGAAATCCATTCCCAAACTGCCAACCACGGTCCCTCCCCGGTGGGTGTCCCCTGTGCCCACTGCTCAGAGAAAGCACAGCCACTTCTCGGTGTGTGTCACACATAATCGTAACCAGTGCTTAGCTTGCCCGGCAAGAGGTGCTGGTAAAACCCTTAAGGACAGAAGCATCTCTCCTAGACAGCCTGCCAGTCAACGCCCATGACTTCAGGGCACTGGACAGGGAGCCTGGGCTGACGGAGGCCGCCCTCACGTCTCCCTCGAGGTTGGAAGTGTCAGAAAGCGCAATTTTCCCTCCAGGCTGCTGTCCTTTGAGAAAAGGCTTTTCTCCCGGCGATTTTATCAAATGACACCTGATGAGCCACAGCAACTCTACAGAAACCCAAGGCGGTGGGAGAGAAGCGGAGCCTCAAAAAGAAGTGAGCTGTTCCAGAAGAGGAAATGAACGCTGGGCAAAAATAAAGGAAAATGAAAAAAAACACTAACAAAATGTCAGCGCCCAAAAGGACAGATGCTTAAATAAAAACATAGGATAACGAGGAGGGGGGGAGGGGCTGGGGGGGGATGGGAGATATCAGTAATACTATCAACAATAAAAAATATATTTTAAAAACTTTAAAAAAGAATATAGGATAGCGAGTGTGGGGAGAACAAAGGCAGCATCTTACTCATTTATCTCAATAGTGGAGGACAGACTGTCAGGAGTCCCTTCATGGAATGATAGTCACTGGCACAGACACCAATTTTTTTAAACATCGATCTATACCTCTTAAATGCTATTAAAACAAGAAGGGCAAAACTTCATCTCAAGAATCATTTGTAAACATCATGTCACATTAGGAAAGTGGAAACCAAAACTTCATATATTTTCAAGACCTTTTTAAAATTCCACCTATTTTTCAGTAAATGCGGAGGAAGTGGCATGGTCTATCCAGGTATGAATTAAAAAAAGAAAGGTTCTTTGTTTTCATAACCAGTCCTGTGGGTGGTTTGCTTGTCTAGTCGCAAATACTGACGAGTTATGTGAGGGAAATGGAATCAATTCATTTTAGAGTCATCTCTTCTGAAAGACATTAAACTTTTACTCCCTCTATATCCTTAGGGGGAACAATGCCTTTTTTCTTTTGCATGAAC